CAAAGTGACCTGCATAGGGTTTCCGAGGAGCAGCTGGTAAGTTTGAATCAATGACCTTGTGATTCAAACTGACCTTCTGGTCGATTGTTTATTCTACAGTTGTTGTTGTCATGTACCATGGAGTCGGTTCCGACTCATAGTGAGCCTATACAGGGTTTCTGAGGCTGTAAATCTTTATGGGAGCAGAAAGCCTCGTCTTACTCCTGCAGAACCACAGGTAGTTTCCAACTGCTGACCTTGAGGTTGGCAGCCCTACTCATAAAAACTATGTTACCAGAGCTCCTTAGACTAATCATATTGGATGATTGCAAATCACTTACACAGAGAGCAAACTAACCAATCCTTTCAAATCATTTATGCAGACTAAATAGCCCAATCCTTACAAGCTGTTTATGCAGATAGCAAACAGATCAAGGACTTGGCAGACCAATCATTTGAGAAAGACCACATAAAGGAAACCCATTGCACCATGTGTACTTAGTTCCTCATCTGCATTGCATCGGTTAGAATTTTTTCCCATGTGTTTCCTGGGTCTTCCACAGGCATGTGCCACTTATAACTTGTATAATGTATGCCCAAAATGATACCAAGCACCAACTCTCTCCTTACATTTTACTATTGTTGCTCTGTTAAAGGCAGTAGCATTCTCCTAGCCAGCACATTTATAAGAATCAATTAGACATTTTCCTTTTTCACAACTTTTCCCATGTTTAAGAACTTCCCATGTCATATGCTTCCTACCTTTTTCTCAATATATCTTATACTTAATGACATATTTCTTTGCTCATTGTCCTAATTCTAACTTAAGCCTTCAGTAATTCCTCCATCTGTCTTTCATATTTTCTGGTCAGCATTCAAATACTGTACACAATATGCCAAGTTTCAATAAAGAAAATGTCTCTCTTTACTATGAAAAGCAACACTATCATGAGAATCATACAAGGTGAGACTAACAATATAAATAAGAAAACTTTTAGAAGGAAGACCTGCTTAAATGTTTACATGATGTCCAGCATAAATTATCAGACACAAAGTAAATGACATAAACCTTGAACGGTGGGGTCTTATCACCTCTTAAAGACACAGTACAGAAAACCAAGGCATTTCATTAGCAAAAATTGTTGGCAACTCCAGCACAGGTCTTTTCTGCATCAGCTATAGCTTACATTACATTCCCAGAATATTCAATTGAAGATGGCAGGAAGATTAAAGATTACATTTTCTAAAAGAGGGTGGTTCAACATTAGAAAAACAATCGATGTAATCCACCATATAAATAAGAAAAAGGAAAAGAACCACATGATCATATCTATTGGTGCATAAAACAACCACTTCTAAAAGAGGTTGTTGTTATTGTGAAGTGCCATCGAGTCGGTTCCTACCCATAGCGACTCTCTGTAATGTTTCCGAGGAACAGCTGATGAGCTTGAACCGCCGACCTTGCAGTTCAAACGGCTTTGCAGTCTGGTGCATTAACCCACAGTGCCACATATCAAAGAAGGCACATGGCATCCAGACAAGATCCAAGAAAGAAATAAAAAACTGAGAGAGAGAAAGAGATGGGGAAAAATTAGATTTAATCCAGATTGCAATGAAACTCCTTTGAAAACCTTTCAGGTACTTACTAGAATGTCGTGAGAAGCAAAAATCACTCTCCCAATATACTTAAAAAGAAAAGAAAGCATGTAACTTCTAGTCCAATCTTCAGCTATTGTGTGACCTCAAGCAGTCAAGTCAATTTGTATTTATCTACAAAACTGAGAGAATTTTCCCTACCTACCTCACAGTATTATTGCGAAGGTAAAAGATATAATTTACAAGGGGCTAAGGAACTGTGTGCGCCTGACCCAAGCCATGGTATTTTCAATAACCTCATATGGATGCGAAAGCTGGACAGTGAATAAGGAGGATCGTAGAAGAATTGATGCCTTTGAGTTGTGGTGTTGGAGGAGAATACTGAAAGTGCCATAGACTGCCAAAAGAACCGATAGATCTGTTTTGGAAGAAGTGCAACCAGAGTGCTCCTTGGAGGCCAAGATGGCTAGGCTTCATCTCTCATACTTTGGACACATTGTCCGGAGAGAACAGTCGCTGGAGAAGGATGTCATGCTGGGTAAGGTGTAGGGTCAGAGAAAAAGAGATGAATCAGCCAGGTGACATCATTGATGGCGTCAAGTGTGGCGGCGATAGTGAGGTTGGCCCAGGATCGGACATTGTTTCGTTCTGCTGTGCATGGGGTCGCTATGAGTCGGTTCTAACTCGATGGCACCTGACAACAACAACAAGGAACTGTCTAGTGTTAACTAGGCCTCTCTGAAGTGGCCATCAGGGCTTTAATGCCCTGTTGTATAGTTGTAGGCCAACTCTACACATGCACACTTTGTAGATCATGGGCAATAAAAACAAGCCACAGATAATTCAGGCTCCACTCATGGCTAATGCTAAGGACACCCCTTAATCCCCTCCTGACCTTTCCTCGTGTATTAGGAAGGTCTATGTGGTTCATGACTCAAATATTGTTCTCCATTTTTGGTCCTGATCCTATAAATTGAACTTGAAGATTCGTTTTGGTTTCTTCAGTTTTCCCTTACTTTACTGTAAAATATTCATATGATAATTACAATCTGATTTTTACTACCATTCAGCTTAGTATCTTGGAACTAAACTAATAAGGTGTTTAATAATAGACTCAAGCTTAGTTTATTCTTAATTTCAGCTGGTGGGTTTGAATTGCAGACCTTATGGCTCTCAGTCCTGTGATTATCCTAGAGAGCCACACTGGGTGGCCAAATTTGAATAGTGGTCATATTAACTTTTCTTCTTTATGTTGTGGCTAAGTGCTGTGGAGTCAGTTTAACTCACAGCAGCCCTGTATAGGAGCAGCTGGTGAGTTTGAAACCAACTTTGAGGTTCAAACAACCTTGCAGTGCGATGCTTATCCTCCAGCGCCACACCAGGATGCCAGTCTTCTTTATAGATGTCATCCTATTACAGAGAGCATCGTACTTCAATATAGATCTTGATATGCTCTTATTGACCGTAAATGTGACATCATTCATCTTCAATTTGTTATTCCCATATGATTGTCTTCTTCAAAATGGCCAATACCAGTCTGTTTCAGCTCACTGATACCTAGAATATCAAATGGTATGTGTTCCATAGCATTTTTGATGACTTCCAATTTTCCTAGATTCATACTTAATAAATTCCACATTCTGATTATGAATGGATGTTGTTGTTTCTTCTCATTTTGAGTAGTACCACATTAGCAAAGGCATCATGTTGTTGTTGTTAAGTACCTTGGAGTGGGTTCTGACTCATAGTGATCCTGCACAGGGTTTCTGAGGCTGCAAATCTTTGCAGGAGCAGAAAGCCTCATCTTTCTCTCACAGAACTGCTGGTAGTTTCGAACTGCCGACCTTGAGGTTAGCAGCCCGATTCAGAACCACTACACTACCAGAGCACCTTAGAGCAATATAATTCAGAATCTATCCCCAATTTTATTTCCTTCCCATCATATATCCTTAGCATTTTTGTTGGTTTTTTGTTTTTGTGCTTCTTTTCCTCCTTTATCTCCACCATGTTGTTGTTATTAAGTACCGTGGAGTCGGTTCGGAAACTAAACCACTATGCTACCAAAGCTCCTTTATCTCCACCATACAACCTCTATTTACTTTTTTAAGTGTTAAAGAGCAAAGATGTCACTGTGAGGACTTAGGTACACCTGAACCAAGCTATGGTATTTTCAGTTGCTTCATATGCATTTTAATTTTGGTATTGGAAAAGAATATTTAACGTACAAACAGTCAGAAGAACAAACAAATCTGTCCTGGAAGAAATACAACCAGAATGCTCCTTCGAAACGAGGATGTTGAGACTTTGTTTCTTGCTCTCTGCACATGTTGTCAGAAGGGATCAGTTCCTGGAGAAGGACTTCTTGCTTGATAAAGTGGAGGGTCAGCAAGAAAGAGAAAGACCCCCAACAAGATGGATTGACACAGTGGCACTAACAATAGGCTTAAGCCTAACAATCGTGAGGATGGTACAGGACCAGACAGTGTTTCGTTCTGTTGTGTCACTGAGTCAGAACTCACTCGAAGGTACCTAACAACTAATCTATCTGGAAGACGCTTGGTGTCCCTTATGTAATTATTTTTTGTTCAACAGTACCACAAAGTTCCACCCAAGTTCAAGTAGAGGGAAAGTAGACTCAAACTATTCCTGAAAGGAGTGTCAAGGTCACATCATAAAAATATGTGGAATGGGAAATATTGTTGTAGCAATCTTTGGAAAATATAATCTACCGCAGTAACTCTTGTTGTATCTTAAATATAGAAAACCCTTTGAAACACAGTTCTACTCTGAAGCATGTGGGGTCACCAGGAGTTGTAATTAACTTGATGCAACAGTTTACTTTGGTTTGATTTGTTTTTGTTTTACACTTGAATGTTTTTTAGGCTTTGCTCCATATCTTTACTTCTGATTATCTGTTTCAAATTGTAAACCACATGATGGTAGGGACAGCCATGTTGAGTTAATTTACGTAAGCTCCAACATAACACTTGTGTTTGTCTGAAAATCATAGTATATAATATTATTACTAATGTTTCAACTGCTGATAGGTACACACACTTGGATGATCATTACTTTTATGCTATAACATTTGTAATATGTTGCAGAAAATCTCTAGCCAACCAAAAAGGCATATTGCATCTTTAATGTGCAAATAAATTTTAATACTCCAATTAGACCTAGGTTGCTTGAAAGGAGTATATCTTTTTTCCCAAGTGAATAGATTCTTGTAAAACAATAATTGAGTCACACAGTTGAGACAAAATAAAATCATTCCCTGAAGGAGCCTTCTTTTTTCTCTCTTCAATTAGCCACTTTTTAAATTTAACAGATTAACAAAAGGTTTGTATTAGTAAATTGTATGGGGCCTTGCTCATTAATGTTTATCTCTTATGAAAAATTAATTAATAACAATTGTCCCTTTTCAGTTGATTTCATAGGTGGCTTTGACTCTTATGGTTATCAAGGGCCACAGAAGACATCTCATTTGCAACTACAGCCTATGTACATGTAAGTACTTTAAATTGAAAGTATTATTCTGGAATGCTAATAGATGGTCAAGTTAAAGTTATTATGACCAAAAATCAATGGCATGTAGCTTTCTTTTAAAAATCTCCTTCAGGTTTATATTTCTGGTGTTTCCTCTTCTATAAATATTGTTTTATTAGAATATTTATAATGATATTTTCTTTTTAAAATTTGAAGTATCAGAAATGCCATTTTTAAAGTTACCTTTAGTTCAGATTCAAAATCCAATATTACATACAACTATACAACTTTTTTTAATTTCCCCAAAATTATATATTTTGAAAATAATATAAGCATTTAGGTGCTTATATATAACGCTATATAAAACATACGTTCTGATTTGCCCAGAATAGTCCCCATTTATATCTATTATATTGGTGTAATTATTACCAGCACTCTCTTTTAATCTCAACAGTGGTTTGCTGAATAATGAATTATAAGATCAACCTAGTATATATTGTTGTTGTTGTTGTTAAGTGCTATCAAGTAGGTCCCGATTCATAGTGACCCTATATAGGGTTTCGGAGGAGTAGCTGGTGAGTTTGAACCACCAACCTTGCTGTTCAAACCAACCTATGGTTAAGTGCTTATTCCACAGCTCTACACCAGCGCTCCTGGTTACATATGGTGCTGGTTATATGCCATGGAGTCGGTTTCGACTCATAGCGACCCTGTATAGGGGTTCTGAGGCTGTAAATCTTTACGGGAGCATAAAGCCTCATTTTTCTCCCATGGAAGCACTGGTAGTTTCAAACTGCTGACTGTGCGATTAGCAGCCCAATTTGTGACCATTACACTATCAGAGTTATATATAGTGTTGAAAAAATCAGAAATGGAACAATACTTGTTCTCTGTCATTTTTCTGATGTTAAAAGTGAAATGAAACTGCAACATTAACACTAAAACTTACCAGATCCTTAACTCTAGCACTCAAGAGAGCAGACATATAATCAGAGCCTGATTTTTATATCTGTGTTTAGGCAAATTCCCTTGGATAACAACTGATAACAAATTCTATATATCAGTATCAAGTGATATGCTGAATTGCAAGTGAAGATCAAAATGGAAAGTAAGATTCCAATTCATTTTGAAATGTGAACTTCTCACTTTGAAGATATGTGTTTGTTGTCGTTGTCCTCCACCATTGAATCATTTTACCTTTTAATAGCTTTAGTTTGTAGGATAATAAATGGATTTTTGGAGTATTTCTTCTCCAAAGAGATTAAAGTAATCCTTACATAGCCCCCTTTTAAGCTTTTCTTTAATAAAATGATAGGAGCATCATATCTGCATTTTTTTTTCCTTGTGTATCTTGTAATTCTATGAAAGCATGTGCTAACACATACATAGAAAAGACATCAACTCCAGAATCTGCCTATACTATATGTCACTCAAAGCATTTCCTTTGTAAATAGTATATAGCACAATACCTTCTTTCATATTCCTACAGCCACTACCATAATTTGAGCATTCATTATCTAATACTTTGAGTTTTCTAGTCTCTTTCTTATTTAAAAATCCCCAATTCCATCCTCTACTTGGCTGTCAAATTCATCTTCCTAATGTACTATTCTGGTGATTTCACCTCTGTCCCAAAACTACCATTGGCACTCTCGGACCTACTGAATAAAGTGGAAACTCCTTACCAAATCTGGTAATCTGCAAATCTACTGGAATCTTACCCCAATAATTTGTTGAAAATGTCTTTGCTCTTCAAATCTTAGTAAATTTTGGTGTTGGGAGGCAGTGATGAAATGTAATGATGAATAAAAACTGATTCTTGCCTCCCTGAAGTTTATAATCTATTGGGGGAGTAACTAGTCTGATATCTTCCCGTAGTCATTTTAGCCATTTTGGTTTACCTCCAGTCAAACTACAACCCTTGCTTTTCTCCAAATATGGCCTGAATTTTCCCAATTCTGCTTGCAAGTTCTCTTTGCACTAAAAAATCGCTTTTCCAATTTCTACATTTTGAGCCCCTGATATTATAAAAATTCGATCTTGAAAGATACTGTCTTTATAAAACACTTCTTAATCTGAGTTTTTTTTTTCCTTTTGCCATGTATTACAGTTGTTTGTAACTTAGACCTTAGCTCTCTTATTTTCCCAGAAAGATTTAATAGCTAAAATTAAAATAATTGGATAACTCCTTTAAATTCATTACTACTTCTCTCAAGATAATATAGCCTTTTGTAAAGGCAAAGCAGTAAGGTTAGTAGGTAAAGTTACCTATTATAGCCTGCCTGAAATTAAATTCTGCATAACCTCAGGCATATAACTTTATTTAAATAACTTTGTTAAATCTCACCAAGTGTAAATGATAGCATCTCACCATCAAAACCTAGATAATATCATACTTACTTCATACAATTATTCTGAAATTATATGAAAAAAATCTCATGTAAAACAAAGTACCTGTCAAATAATAAGTGTATATTAAACATAACATTATTGCAATAAGACATATTTCCAAGTTACTCTTGAAAATATTTTAGTAAATTAGGAAGCAACATATACTATATGTCATTCCCCAAAAAATTCCCTCAGTAAGCTCTATGTCAGGAACATGATGGCTTTACAATATAAACACTGATCTGCCTACCACAAGGTTAATGGTTTGAGCCCACCAGCTATTAAGTGGGAGTAAGATGAGGCTTTCTGCTTCTGTAAAGCTTTACAGCCATGGAGACCCAATGCAGGGATGCTTTAAGTTGGAGCTGAGTCAACAGCCCTTCATAACAACAGCGAGCACTACATCACACATACCAATTTAAGTAGCATAGAACAATACATTTGTGCTCCACAGTAGACCAGAACATCTGCAAGGCTTGCAATTGCTGTTTCTGACAGTATATATATTCTTATGAGTCAGAACTGACCCAACAGCACTTAACAACAACAACAATATATCTACCACTCGTCTGTCCGTTTGTTGTAATGCAGTGGCTTGTTTGTTGCTGTGATGCTGAAAGCTATCCCACCATTTTAAATACCCATAGTGGATAAGTTTCTGCAGGACTACCAGACTAAGATAGACGAGGAAGAAGGAGATGCAAGCTACTTCTGAATGTTTAGCCACTGAAAACGTTATGAACATTAGTGGAACATTGTCAGATATGATGCCAGAAGATGAAAGCCTTATTAAAGAACATTGTCAGATATAGTGCTGGAAGATGAGCTCCTCAGGTTGGAAGGCACTAAAATTATAACTGGGGCAGAGCTGCCTCCTTAAAGCTGACTTGATCATAATGATGTGACTAGAGCATAGCTTTGGGGGCCTTCATTTGCTGATGGGGTGCAACTCAAAATGAAAAGAAACAGATGCAGGCATCCATTAACAATCAGAATGTGGAATGTACAAAGTATGAATCCAGGAAAATTGGAAGATATCAAAAATGAAATGCAACACATAAAGATCAATATCCTAGGAATTAGTGAGCTGAAATGGACTGGTATTGATCATTTTGAAACAGACAGTCATCTGGTTTATGATGCCAGGAACAACAAATTGAAGAGAAATAGCATTACTTTCAACTTCCAAAAGAGCATTGTAAGATCTGTCAAGAAATACACTGCTGTCTGTGATAGGACAATAACTTTATGAATACAAGAAAGACTACTGTTCTTCAAATTTACACACCAACCAATAAAATTGAAGAATTCTATCAACTTGTGGTTTATTGATTATGCAAGGACTTTTGACTGTGTGGATCATGAGAAGCTATGGAAAACATTGTGAAGAATGGGTATTCCTGAACATTTAATTCTGTTCACAAGGAACCTATAAATAGTCCAAGAGGCAGTCATTTGATTAGAACAAAGGGGTAATGAGTGGTTTGAAATCTGGAGAGGAATGTGCCAGAGTTGTATTCTTTCACCATACTTATTCAATCTGTATACTCAGCAAATAATCTGAGAGGCTGGATTCTATGAAGAAGATGTGACATCAGGATTTTAGGAAGATTTATATTCCTAATTTAACTACTGCAATAGGCAGATGATACAACCTTGCTTGCTAGAAGCAAAAAGGACTTAAAATACTTACTGATGAAGACCAAAGACTGTATATAGCCTTTAGTATAGATCGCACCTCAATGTGAAGAAAATATAAATCCTCACTACTAGACCAATAAATAACATCATAAATGGAGAAAGTGTTGAAACTATTAAAGACTTCATTTTTCTTGGATCTACAGTCAACACTCATGGAAACATCATACAAGAAATCCAACTACATATTGTACTTGTTGTTGTTAAGTGCCGTAGAGTCAATTCCAACCCATAGCGTTTCCAAGGAGCAGCTGGTGAGCTTGAACCGCCACCCTTGCAGTTCAAACGGCTTTGCAGTCTGGCACATTAAACCACAGTGCCACACCAGGACTCCACATATTGTACTACGCCAGCGAAAATAAGGACGACCCCTAGCAAGGTGCATTGACTCCATGGCAGCAGCAATAGACTCAAGCATAGCAACAATTGCGAGGACAGCACGGGACCAGGCAGTGTTTCGTTTGGTTGTACAGAGGGTCGTTTTGAGTCAGAACAGAGTCCATAGCACCTAACAACAACCAACTTCGTGAGTCAGAAAATGATCAAACATGTAATAAAGATGCATTGATAATTACTGGTAATTGGAATGCAAAAGTTGGAAACAAAGAGGAAGGATCAGTTGATGGAAAATATGGCCTTGGTGGTAGGAATGATCCTGGAGATTACATGATAAAATTTTGCAATACTAATGACTTATTCATTGCAAATATGTCCCCCCTCCCCCCTTTTTTGTAAGCAACATAAAAGATAACTAGACACATGAATGGTCAATTTGATACAGGAATCAAATTGACTATATCCATGGGAACAGATGGTGAAAAAGTTCAATATCAGCAGCCAAAACAAGGCCAAGGACTGACTGTGGAACAGACCATCAATTGCTCATATTCAAGTTCAGGCTGAAGCTGAAGAAAATTAAAACAAGTCCATGAGAGTCAAAATATGGTCTTTAATATATCCCACCTGTATTTAAAGTCCTGGCATGGTGCTGTGGGTGCATTGGACTGTAAAGTCATTTTGAACCACAAGGTAGGTGGTTCAAGCTCACCAGCCACTCCTTGGAAACTCTATACAGGGTTGCTATGGGCTGCAACCAATTCAATGGCACTTAACAACAACAACAGCCACCTGAATTTAGTGGTCATCTCAAGAACAGATTTACCATATTAGACATTACTAACTAAGACCAGAAGAGTTGTGGGATGACATCAAGAACATCATACAGAAAGAAAGCAAAAAATCATTGAAAAGACTGGAAAAATGAAAAGGCTAAAATGGATATCAGAAGAGATTCTAAAACTTCCTCTTGAGTGTAGAGAACCTAAAGTGAATGGAAGAAATGAGGAAGTCAAAGGGTTGAACAGAAAAAATTTAAAGAGCATCTTGAGTAGACATAATGAAATATGATCATGAAATGTACAAAGATCTGGAGTTAGAAAACCAAAATGGAAGAAGACCACACTCATCATTTCTTAAGCTGGAGAAAAAAACTTAAGCCTTGACTTGCAATATTGAAAGATTCTACAGACAAAATATTGAATTCACAGAAACCATCACACAACAAAAAAAGATAGAAGGAACACACAGAGTCACTTTACTAAAAAGAAATGGTCAATGTTCAACCATTTCAAGAGGTAGAATATGATCAAGAACTGATGGAAGAAGTTTAAGCTGTGCTGAAGGAACTGGGGTAAACAAAACAAAACAAAAATGGAGAAAAGATTGAAGTTATCAAAGGCTTCATTTAGTAAACACTCGTGGAAGCAGCAGTCACGAAATCAAATGACATATTGCATTAAGAAAGTGTGCTGCAGAGGGCCTCTTTAAAGTGTTAAAGGGAAAAGATATCAGGTTGAGAACTATGGTGAAGCTGAACCAAACCATGGTATTTTCAGTCACCTCATATGTATGTGAAAGTTGAGTAGAAAAATGGATGCATTTAATTTGTGGTGTTGGAGAAGAATATTGAAAGTACTATGGACTTCCAGAAGAACAAATGAAGTTGTCTTGGATGAAGTACAGCCACAATGTTCCTTACAAACGAGAATTGTCAGACTTTATCTCTCATACATCAGACATGTTATCAGAAGGGATCAGTCCCTTGAGAGGGACATCATGCTTGGTAAACTGGGGTGTCCGTGAAGAAGAGGAAGACCTACAGTGAGATGGATTGGCAAAGTGACAGCAAGTATGGGCTCAAATGTAACAACAATTGTGAGGATGGTACAGGAATAAGCACTGTTTTGTTCTGTTGTACATGTGGTCACTATGAGTCAAAAAAGACTCCACAATACTTAACAACAAAATATAACATATAACTTAACATTTCCTTGTGTTGGTCAATATGAATAATTAATAAATATGATTGTTGTTGTTGTTAAGTGCCGTCGAGTCAGTTCCAACCCATTGTGACCCTGTATAGGATTTCTGAGGAGCAGCTGGTGAGCTTGAACCACCAACCTTGCAGTTCAAACAGTTTTGCAGTCTGGCACATTAACCCACAGTGCCATATGATTAAGCTATAATAAATTCAGTATCACCACTCATCTAGGGATTGGTTATGATAATAACATGAGCATGCTAATTATACATAATGAAGTACATTGTTTCTAACGAGCATTTATAATTCTAATGTTATCTTTGAACAGAGTACTGTACAGAGATATATATCTTTTCCCAGTGTTAAATTGTTTGTGAATTGTCCCATAACTTTATTAAACTGAAAATTTTAAATACAAACAAAAGAACAAAAGAAAATTGTTTCCCCTCTTTCTTTCTAAGATATCCAGCAAATTGCTACTTAAAATATCACCACCCTCCCTTCTATAAAATATCCCACAGATGACTTCATATGCTAGAACACTAAGATTTTATTTTGCTGTTGTTATTAAGTGTCATCGAGTCCATTCTGACTCTTAGTGACCCTGTATAGGATTTCTGAGGAGTTGCTGGTGAGTTTGACCCACAAACCTTGTGACTCAAACAGACCTTGCGGTCTAATCATACAGCGCCATGAAAAGTCAAACATCTTGCTAGTAGTGTATCGCAGATTACTAACCAGTCTTTCTGATGCCTTAATTCAGTGTTCTTCCCAAAACCCTCGATGGACTCTGAGCTAGATTTGATATTACATTCCCTGATTTTTAATTAACTAATGAGTATTTTCTTCACAACAGCTTGGTTGCCATATTTCCATACATAGCTCCCTTTTGCCTTTTTTTCTGCATTCTTCTAATTCTCTTTTGATTTTACATTTTGAAGTATTGAGTGAAGGCTTTTTTTCAACTTTTTAACCCACAAAACACGCCATTTGAAAGCTAACATCTCTTCAAATCTGTGAAAAACCAAAGTTGATTCATACATAAACTTCATCCCCTGCTGTGAGGCAGAGACCTAAACAAGGTCTACGTCTGTCCTCTGGTGCCTACCTTCAATGGGCTATAAATAAGGCTCGTAAAGTAAAAGTAATTTAACATCATGGGTCTATCTGTGTTCAAGAACCTAACAATATTATATAGCAACTGGAAATAAAAGCTATTTCTTAGAAGAAAAGTGAATACTTAAAAGCAATGTGCACTTTTAGCTGTGGGGTTTCCATTATAGCCAGCAAATGTTCTGTGACCAAAAGCTCTGAAAACACTGTCTTCACTGACATGAATTCACTGACAGTTTTCAGTTCCTTTAGTCAATGAATGGACAGAACTCTTTTTTTTTTTTTTATTTGGTTAAAATGAGGTGAATGTTCTTCACCTATAATTCTTTGCATTGTTTATAATCCATCTAAAAAGGAAAGATTTCCATTTTTTTCTTACAATTTAGAAAATCTTTTCAAAATGATTAGACAACTATGAAACTGCTGAACAAAGACATGTTCATGGGTTAATTTTCTGGAAAATTAGCAGCTCTGACTACCACTGACCTCTATGCTATAGCAAATATAGATTTGTTTGGGCTTCCTGCTGTTAAAACTGTGAGAACATCCTATAGTATATTAGAAAACATTTGAAAATATCACATTCTTTTGGGCAGCTTTATTGTAGATCAATACATATCCATTTCATTTGTCTACAGAAATTAGATTTTAAATTATCCTAAGTGTCTTCTCTATTCATGAGGTTGAACTAAGAAAAAAAAGGAAAGTATCTATTTGCTAAAAACACAATTTGGACTTTTTTTGTTGTTGTTGCTTGCTCTTGTGCTTGGAGAAGAGGTGCAGAGCAACAAGCACCCATTGCTCCCCCCTTGATTATAAACACACATATGTATTTGTGATTTTTCCTTTCTCTCTTTCTCATGTAGGTCAAAATAATCAAGATGACTTCAGCATGTCAGCTCATGGACTTTAAAAGGAACTTGTTTTGCAGCGGTCTCCTGCATTTTATAAAGAGCAAGAAGCAACTGAGTTTAAATATATATACACATTAACAAAGCAAGCAAACAGGCTACACACACACACACACACACACACACACACACACGCAAGCAACAAACACATAATTCTACTTGGCCTCCTCTTTCTAACTGAAATAGATATGCAGGACACGCCCATCTTGGATTTCCTCAAAGCAGGATTCTTTCTCCCAAGCCTTTGGAAAGTTCAAAAGGAAACATATTGGTGCCCTCTGCTGGCCGTTACTAACTCTTCTGCAGCCCAGTCAACCTCTGTGAGCTACGGAGTCATCCAGGGCCAATTAGTATGAGAGTCCTGTCTTCTGCACTCCATACGTCTTTATAGCACCAAGGCTACTTAGGCAATGTAGTTGCAAAAACATACAAAATATGCCATGATGATCTTGTAACCGAAGTCTGAAATGGCAGGTTGTTGACCCTAAAGGCTGTACCGTACATACTTGCCTTAACCCACCTAAATTGTGCGCCAGAGAATCTCAGTGCAGACATCCCCAAGTCACTTCCTTTAGGCTAACACACTTTAATTCCAAAAGAGTTTGGATCTGTGTGCTTCATGTCAAGGACCAAGACTGCATAGCTCAGCATATCCAGTGTGTCTATGTAAGAAAACTGCCAGCTGTCAGCAAAGTGCTTTACCATTGAGCCTCCGTGGTGGCCAAAATGGAGACTATTACAACAACAACAATAATTGTCATCTTTATAATTCTTAAATACGGTCTTCTGATGGGGTTGGAATAGAAGAAAGTAAAATCTACTAATCTACTAAACTCATTAATCTGGTGGAAGCAGAAAGCAGAAATGATTTAACTCACTGATTTTATTTATTGCACTCTAGGTGCTTTTGTAAGTATCTACAAATACGTCTTTTACTGACACAGAAACCCTTGTGGATTTCTATGAACGGAGGCCAACTAAATATGTATTAGCTATGTTTACTCTTTTATATCTAATTCAAATTGAAGACTATGTAGGTGAACTTTTTTTTCTAACTTTCAGCGTATGAGATTATTTTTTGGGTGGGGGTGGGGGGGAGCAGTAGTTACCTTGGTGAAATATTTGAGATCTCTTTGTGGTATTTGGGGGATCTGTCGTGTGTTAGAGTGTATTTTAATCCTCCTGTATTATTGTGGCAGAAAAACTGTGCTGTTAACGTAGTTGGCAACAAGATGCCTTTGGAAACTTAATAGTAGGTCAATGTGTTTATGGAATATTCTGAACTCCTAGGAAACTTTGTTCTATATTTTCAAGCATTATTTGGTTTTCATTAGCAGGAAGCATAATTAGCTCAGGCTTATCAGGAACTCAGATGAGTCTTCTGTCTTGGAACACCTAAGACATTTTAAATCAATCCTTTAAAACAAAACAAAAAGCAAACATGCCATTCTTAAATACAATGAAATACAGACTTGGAAAGTTACAAATTGGCATGGAGCAGCATTTTTCTTTGTTTTCTGTGCAGTCCGTTATTTGGTTAACCTACTTTGAAATTTTCCCTATCCAGATCTACATAAACCAGTCCCATTACTGTGTTTGCATGGATGTCTGTGATATACACACACATACACATCTGACAATTATAAAGGGAGACAAAGTGACTACAAGTGAATAAACTGCAAAAAAGGTTCCAGCACTCATGCTTGAATCTTCTCAGTGGCTTGTATATGTTTGTCCATACATACATGTATAAAAAACACAGTTGCAAACATGTCAGTGAAACCTCAAACAATGACCTTAGAGTACCATGCATGTTTAATGTGTGAGAAAATATTTACCAATGTATTGTCCTTTGACGCCTAAAATACTATACATGTCAGAAACTACTTTATATGTAACTAGTATAACGAGGTTTCATTGAACATCCATGCTGTGATGAGATTCCACCTTATACTACATGTATATGGATTCGGATTTCAGTGCAGAAAATAAGCCCTCATATTCTTGGTTTAAGTTGCAGCCAAGTTACCACCAAATCACTACTATCATCACCACCAAAATTTTCAAAACAGTTGTTGACTACTAAAAAGTAATCAGTGGACAGGTCTTTTTTGGGAGCAGTAAGCACAGTAGTGTGATTCTATCTGGAAAAAAAAAAACATCTAAGTTGTACAGCTGTATCCTCCTCAAAATCCAGTGAAGAATGCTATTTTTCTAGGCTGAGCTTTTGTTATAAACAAATATTCAGAAGGCAAAAGTTATAATCCTGATGTGTCTTTTTTTTTGCATTTGTTAATTCTGAATGTATTTTTAACAGAGTGATTTTTTGACTTATTAGTGTAATTTGCATTTAAAAAATAAATGGAAAAACAATTATGTTTCCGAGCCATCCCTGAAAAACCCCTGCCACTTCTCACAGTGTATTTGATTATATCATTGATAGGAAAGCCCTTTGAAACTTGCATGAAGGCAGAGCTGATGTTCTGTGAAGTGAGGGATGTGTCTGCAGAGGAGAGACATTGCCAGGTCATGGCACCATTTTAGCTCAGTCCTAGGTGATGCGGACTTTCATTATCTCCTGACACTAGGGGTTCTTTCACAAGACTGCCTGTAGGAAACTTGCTGTCATCTGGAGAACCTTTTTTATTTTTGCCTTCAATTTAAGATTTTGAGTCAGTATATGGGTAATAGTTGACAAAGGTGTTGTTGTTGTTGTTAAGTGCCTTCAAGTCAGTTCTGACCCATAGCGACCCTCTACAGGGTTTCCAAGGGTGTAAATCCTTATGGGAGTAGAAAGCCTCATCTTTCTCCCACAGAGCGACTGGTAGTTTTGAACCACTGACCTTAAGGTTTGCAGCCCGATTCGTAACCACTACACTACCAGAGCTCCTTCGACAAAGATGTTAGAGTGCTACTTTTTAAACCTTTGGTTAACAAGTAGATGGGATTGTCCATTTTCTACAGACCAAATAAAATCATTTCAAATTCTCATTTACTGCCCCTATAATGATATGATTTCTTTTGTTCTTTAGTTATTAGATTATTGATAGTCACCTCAGTAGAAGACAACTAGAGCAAAGTATGTTGGGGTCTGGTAGGCAAATAAATGAGATTAGATGCTGCCATTTGTATTTGTACCATCATAGTCTCAGTTGAGGGTCAATGTTCATACTAAAGGAAGAAAAGACAGCGTCCCTCCTCCGGACATGGACTGACTAGTGAGGTCGTGCCCATTCTCCTACCGCACACAGACACATACTGCAACTCAGAAGTCGAAATGCTGAAATCAATCAAAAATAAGCAAAGCTTTGAGGTTGCTTTCAAAGGAACTGGAGATCAAATTGTAGTTCTTGACTTCTAGGCCCCATGATGAAAGCCTTGTAAATAATCAAACCTGGTATTACTTTAATTTCCTGTTTGAAAAATATGCTGATATAGTGTTCCTTGAAGTAGATGTGAATGATTGTCACAATGTTACTTCATACTGTAAGACCAAATACACACATCTCATTTGTATAAAAAGCCACTCCTCAGAAATCCTATGCAGCTATGCAGGGTCACTATGAGTTGGAACTGACTCCATGGCACTTAACAACAACAGGATAGATAGATAGATAGATAGATAGATAGATAGATAGATAGATATAGATATAGATACACATATATACATATATACATATATATACATACATACACATATACACATACATATACATATGTATATATACATATATATGTATATACACATACAGATACATATACATATATGTATGTATATACGTATGTATATATATGTATATATGCATGTATATATGTGTATGTATGTATATATGTATATATATAACTCTGGTAGCATAGTGGTTATGAATCGGGCTGTGAACCTTAAGGTCAGCGGTTCGAAACTACCAGTTGCTCCACGGGAGAAAGATGAGGCTTTCTACGCCCGTAAAGATTTACACCCTCAGAAACCCTGTACAGGGTCGCTATGGGTCAGAACCGACTCGACGGCACTTAACAACAACAACAATATATATATATACAGAGAGAGAAAGAGAGAGAGAGAGTCCTGGTATACCACTGTGAATTAATGCTGCACTGGACTTTAAGGTTGGTTAGACTTACAAGGTAGCATCAGCTGTTCCTCAGAAACCCTATACAGAGTCAATATGGGTTGGAACTGACTTAACGGCATTTCACAGCAACAACTATATATATGTAGCGGGGATTCCTGGTGTGGCACTGTAGGATAAAACACTAGACTGCAAAGTCACTTTAAACTGTAAGGTTCCGACTCATAGCAACCCTGCATAGGGTTTCAGAGGATAAATCTTTACGGGAACAGAAACCCTCATCTTTCTCCCTCAGAACAGCTGGTAGTTTCACACTGTTGACCTTGAGGTTAACATCCTGCATCATAACCACTATGCTACCAGAGCTACATATATGTATGTAATTTATATTTATATATATTGTTCATATATATATATATATATATATATATATATATATTGCTATGGGTCAGAACTGACTCGATGGCACATAACAACAACAATATATCAGTTATTAATTATAAACAAAATACTGTATTTTCTTGAATTTTCACATAGAGTAGATGCATGGATAGATACTCAGGCTGAGTGGTTACAGGAGAGTGGGACTATACTATGAATATATATAGGTTTGACAAATGATATTTCTACATGTTTATTTAGTTATTCTGCAAATATATCCATGAATATCGTGGAACAAAGGATGGGCAAAGTTATGAAAACTTCTTAACTTAGCCATAACCAAACACCTTGAGGGAATGAATGTCTGGTCTTGTAGGCTAAAGACTACAGTAACAGGGTACACCATGGTCAATTGGTATAACGTACTCCACAAAGGCAATATTCTACATCCTACTTTGGTAAGTAGTGACTGCAGTTTTAAAAGTTCTTGAATGGCCATCTCAGGTGCAACTATCAGTCTCTCCCTGTCCCAAAACAAAAAAAGGGTGAAAAGACCTCCGATTTGGCTGGCAGCAGAGACAGCCAGGTAGGAAAGGTTCTGTGGGGGAGGGATTGAAAACCCACAGAAGCTGTGCTCACAGAACAACACCAGAGCTCTGGATCTACCATAAGGTCCAGGACATCAGTTTCGTGCACTCGCAAGTGAAAAAAATCATGATATAAAGGAAAATACTGTGAGTTAGGAATCTATGCACATGGGACTCTCTCTGTGGCCAATCCACCCGGGCAGAGTTCAAAGGGCGGGACTAGAACCAGACCTGCACAGGGAACTGGTGCTAAAAGAAGTGCAGTGACATTTGCAAAAGAAGGTGCAGAGGATTCCACACATTTTTTCCTCCTATTCCCTGTTGCACCTTCTTTGCCCAGCCCAGATTCTTTCAGTGCACAACCCTCCCAAAAAATGTCCAGTGCTGACCCCACAGTTTTCCTATGGTACAGAGAAAGAGCTTGGCGTCTACTTATGACATCAGCCTCAGGGTCACAGCCCTAAAATTAACTTGTGCAGGACCCTTACTCAGGCCTATATAGCAAGAAAAAAGCAGGTCCATCAGTCCTGACAGACAAACCATTGAACAATCTGTAAAACACCAACATAAAATGGCGCAAGTATCTGGAGAATAACGCTGTGCACACGCAGATACCTAACTGACCTACAGAGACAAAAATAGTGGACAATCTTTCTCCCATTAACTTCTTAATATCTGTCTGCACACCTCCACAGTGGTGACTAGAGAAGGGCCTGAGCAAGTGGACACCCCCACCCACTGCCGGAGGCTTCTATGGTGCACACACACTGGCCGTGTAGCAAAGCAACTGGACATTCAGCCACAGTTTTATTTTTGTTTCAAAGTGGTAATTTTTGTCTCTGCTTCTATATTGCTTCTGCTATTGGTCCTTTTAATCACACATTTTTCTTGGAGGTGGGAGATTTTCTCCCTATGCCCAAGAAGAGATGGCACTCATGGCCATATAGCCAAGCTACAAGGATATCCCATAATATTCCACTATTGAGACAAGAGCCAATAACAGCTGCTAAGCATTACATGTGAAAAGGGAAGCCTATCTCCTGATCATATCCACCAAGACACACCCAGTAAGCTTAATAACACAACAGCAAACATCCATTTAAGCATTAAAAATAAACACACATAACTACTGGAAATGAAAAACAAAAGATCACAAACACAACAAACAATCTCAAAACATGTCCCAAACCAGAAAATAGTAACTGAGACAAATGTGCTGGAGACAGACAAAGGCTCCCCAGAAGAGGAACAGCAGGTTTTAGATTTGCCTGAGAAGGAATTCAGAAAAATGATATGGAAACAAATTCAAATGCTCCGAAACGGGGTGGAGGAAAACAAGGAAGAAGTCAGGAAAGTACTACAAGAGCAATCAAACAAGACTGATACAGTATTGGAAACAATTCAAAACTTGCAAAAAGAGGTCTAGATGATTAATAATAAAATGTCAGAAATGGATAATACATTGAAAGGGGAAAGGAGCAGAACAGAAGAGATGGAAGCCAGAACTAGCGAGCTGGATGACAAATCTCTCAATACTGCTAAGATAGAAGAACAAGCAGAAAAAATAATTTAAAAATCTGAAAAGATCTAAGCTTCATACTGGATAACATGAAGAGGAACTACTTAAGAATTGGCATTCTGAAACAGGAAGAATCATAGAAGTCCACAGAGGAGATAGTTGAAGAGCTTCTGGAAGAAAAATTCCCTAACGTCTTGAAAAATGAGAAGATAAACATTCAAGAAGCCGAATGTACCCCAGGAAGGATAGACCCCAAAAGAAAGTCACCAAGACATATAATAATCAAGCTCTCAAAAATCAAAGACAAGGAGAGGAAACTAAAAGCAGCCAGGGAGAAGAGAAGTGTCGCTTACAAAGGCAAGCAAATCAGATTAAGCTCTGACTATTCAGCACAAATCATGAAGGCAAGAAGGCAATAGGGAGACATACAAAACCCTACAAGAAAAAAACTGCCAACCAAGAATCATCTATCCAACAAAACTATAAATCAAATACAATGGGGTGGAATCAAAACATTCCAGGATAAACAGAATCTAAGAGATTTTGTCAAAACCAATCCAGCACTTTAAAACATCCTATAGGGAGTTGTTTGCACTGAAAACCAACAAGAACATACAACAACCAGAGACTGACAGATGTGACAACACCACCTGGAACTCAGTTGACAGATAGCAGAGTTCAGAACAGAACAAAACAACAACAATGAATTCAAGGAGCTGGGAGGTCAACTGATGATCAAAATAATATCAATGTCAAAGAAGAGATAAATATAGGAACAGAGATTCAGGTAGTGAGGATGTCAGGTAGATTACAGGATAC